CTAAATGTAGGTGGCCTGATTAGTAAGTTTGCAGATGACACAAAAATTGGTGCAGTTTTGGATAGTGAAGTTGACAATGGATCAGCTGGAAAGTTAGGTGGACAAGTGGCAGATGGAATTTAATCCAGACAAGTGTGAGGTGATGCATTGTGGGAGTTCAACTGCAAGAGGAAAGTAAATAGTAAATGGAGGACCCTTAGGAGCATTGATATAAAAAGTGATCTTGGGATGCAAGTCTATAGCTCCCTGAAACCGGCAACACAAATGGATAATGTGGTAAAGAAGGCAGATGGCATGCTTACCTTCATTGGTCAGAGCACTGAGTATAAAAATTGGCAAGTCAGGTTGCAGCTGTATAAAACTTTAATTAGACCACAGCTGGAGTGTTTATGTAGTTCCGGTTACCACAGTACAGGAAAGAGTTGAAAGCTTTGGAGAAGGTGCAAAAGAGGTTTACCAGAATGTTGCCTGGATTGGAGTGCATTCACTATAAGGAAAGGTTGGCAAACCTGGATTATTTTTGCCACAGCATCGGGGACTGAGGGGTGACTTGATAGAAGTATATAAAATGATGAGAGGCATGAATAGAGTGCATAGTCAGAGTCTCTTTCCCAGGGTGGGAATGTCCAATACAACGGGGCATAGGTTTAAAGTGAAAGGGGGAAAGTTTAAAGGACATGTCCAAGGGAAGTTTTTTTATGCAGAAGATGGTAGGTACTGGAATGCACTGCCAGAACAGCTGACAGATCTCTTTGTACATCTACACTTCCCAATGCATCATCATTTAAATAATACTGTCTTTCTGTTTTTTATACCAAGGTATGTAACTTCACATCTAACCACTTGTACTGCATCCACCACATGTTTGCCCACTCACTCAACTTGTCTCAATCACTTTGAAGCCTCCTTGCATCCTCCCCACAACTCACAATCCTGCCCGGTTTTGTGTAATCAACAAGCTTGGAAATTTTGCATTTTTATTTATATATGTTGTAAACAGCTAGGGCCCAAGCACTGATCCTTGTGGTACTCCACTAGTCACTGCCTGCCACTCAGAAAAACACCCACTAACCTTTTAATATGGATCTTATCAAAAGACTTCCGAATTGAGAAGCAGAACAGTTGGAAATTGAAAGACCGAGTGTGTGTGTCAAGAAGCAAGGTAAAACAACAAAAATGTGAAGATCTTGGTTGGTGACAATGTTTTGTTCAATAAATCTTTGATTCATTTATGTTAAGTTTAATTGGTCTTAAAAATAAAGACATGAAAGAGCATTCCAATCCCATCATAGCCTATTTCATGTGGGAACAGGATGCTTCTCAGGTCCTAGACAAACGTGTTGGAGTAGTTCAAGTTCTAGCTTTTGGCGCTTGAATTGCAACAGGTGTCACTGCAATGCATCTGAAAGACTAAGAGATATACAGACAGAATGCTGGAAGTGGCCATTCTGCAGCTTAAGAAAACATTCGGAGTACTGTCCTGAGTTTTGGTCTCCTTACTTATGAGAGATATATTATTGCATGGAAAGCAATCCAGAGACAGATCCCTCTGCAGATTGTGAGAATGAGGACGTTGCGTTATAAAGGAAGGTTGAGCAGGTAAAGCCAATACTGACTAGACTTTAGAAGAATGAGAGGTGATCTTATTGAAACACATAAGATTCTTAAGGGACTTGATAATGTGGATTCTGGGACAATGTATCTTCTTCTGGCACAGTCTAAAACTAGGGACGCAGTTTAATACCAAGTGGTTTCCCACCGAAGATGGAAATGAAGAGGACTTTTCTTAATAGTATCCCTATAGAGTGGAAGCATTGCATTTGGCCCATCGAGTCCACACTAACCCTTCGAAGAGCAACCCACCCAGACCCCTACCCAAAACCCTGCATTTCCCATGGCGAACCCACCTAGCCTGCACACTATGGGCAATTTAGCATGGTCAATCCACATTAACCTGTAGATCTTTTGGACTGTGGAATGACCCAGAGCACCCAGAGAAAACCCATGCAAACACGGGGAGGATGTGCAAACTCCACACAGACAGTCACCCACGGGTGGAATCAAACCCGAATCCCTGGCACTGTGAGGCAGTGGTGCTAGCCACTGAGCCACCGTGCCGCTCTCTGGGTTATTAGACCTTGGAATTCTCTTCTGCAGAGTTTGGTGAAGGCTTGAATATTTTCAGACCTGATTTGGACATTTTTAATCAACAAGGGAGTTAAGACTTAAGCGAGTCAAGTTAAAGCCACCATCAAATCAGTTGATGATTGGAGTGAATGGCGGAGCAGGCTCAAGGGAATGTTTTTTTCGTTATTCTTTAATGGAATGAGGACATCGCTGGCTAGGCAGCATTTATTACCCAGAGGCAGGGCAGTTCAGAGTCAACCTCATTGCTGTGGGTCTGGAGTCACATGTAGGTCAGACCAGCTAAGGAGGCAGTTTCCTTCCCTAAAGGGCATTAGTGAACCAGGTGGGTTTTTCCCCTGACATTTCAGCAATGGATTCACGGTCATCATAAGATTCTTAATTCCAGATATTTTTATTGAATTCAAATTTCACCATCTGCCATGGTGGGATTTGAACCCGGGACCCCAGAACATTATCTGGATCTCTAAATTAACAGTCCAGTGATAATACCACTAGGCCATCGCCTCCCCATAAGTGGACTACTTCTGCTCCTCTACCTCTTATGATCAGGCAGGCAGGATGGATGACTGCCAGACTATCAAGAGGCATGAGCCATGCTGTGCAGAAGTCCCAGGATGTACTATACTCTCTAACTGCTGTTCAGTTTGATCACTGATAAAGGCAATGATACCTCTGAGGATCACAGCTAGAACCAGGATTACCGCACCTTGGGCACCACATCAATGGAGAGGTGGACAATAGGAAGGTCAGAAAGAAAAAAAAAGGAAAGATTCAATCATTTGATGAACATTTTTGTGGTGAAAGACATAACAAGGATTCCCTCAGGCCAGGGTCAAAAGGGTCATTGAGGTACTGCCAAACATTCTGAGGGGGAAGACTGCACAGACAGGAATTATGCCTATATCAGCGCCGATGACACAGGGAGGAACAAGGATTGAGGTCCTGCAGGCAGAATTCAGGAAGCTAACCAAAACGTGAAAAGTAAGATCCAGAGGTACTCATCTCCAGATTATTCCCATTGACATTCACTGGTAAGTATAGAAACAGGAAGATGATGGAAAATGTGGAGGCAGAGATGAAGCAGGAGAGAAGGCTTTAGATTCCTAAGGCATTGAAGAGGTGAAACATGTACAAACTGGACAGGTTACATCTCAACTGGGCCTGGATCAATATCTTTGAGGGAAGGTTTTCCAGTTCTATTGAAGGGATGGGAAGAAAGGTAGAGACTCACTGATAATGAAGTGGAGTATAAATATGCAAACCTTACTTGCAGGCAGGACGTTTACAAAGTTCCGATAAATAAATAAATAAATGCATACTAAATTACTTACTGTATGACAGTAATCCACTGCTAGTTAATTAGAAAATGGAAACTTTCCATATCCAGATTCCATTTCCATGCCCCATGAAACAGTTTTTTTTAAATGTAAATTAGTAACTAATAATTTAGTAAAATTAGACTAATTAAAAAAAACTTCTATAGATGAGTTTGAGAAATCCTTATGAATCCAAATAGTTCCATTTTATTTTAAATATTTTAATTTGGAATCAGGTTTGACTTCAGACAAGCCTCTACCTCTTCCAAGTGCTGCAATGGGTTGTCAAAGGAAAAAGAAATCCCTTCAGAAAAATGCTTCCCTTTCTCCCATTGAAAGGGAACAAGTCCAGCAGTAGCAAGTCTACCTAATTAGCCTCTGTGCTGTACACACAGTTTGCAGTATGAAGGGTCAGAGGTGGTAGGTCTATGGGCCATAAACATTAGTCACTGACAAATTCAATGAGGGATTCAAGTAAAACCAGGGAGTAGTTAGAATATAGAACTCATGACCACATGGAGTAGTTGAGCTGAGTCACAGAGATGAATTTAAGAGGAACCTAGCTCCGCACAAGGGAGAACTGAATGGAGAGATACCTTGCTGTCTTAGAAAAAGATGAGAAAAGGCTTGTGTAGAGCATAAACATTGACATAGACCCTGCGGAATTGAACAGCCCATTTCTGTGCTGTAAACTTCTGTATTCTTCTAACTGCCCTGAGGTAGCTGACCGCAGTGGTCAAATGCACCACCAATGTTAACTAAAAGGGCTTACATCGATGAATGGCCACCAGGGTGAGGTATAAGTAAGAAACCCACGGAAATAGATTTCCACAAAAGTTGATCTCTACTGAAGAGGAGGGAAATCCACAACAGTACAGTGAATCTAATCAGAAAAAAGTTAATTCTAAATCCTATTGGGATCCACTATTTGACAGTTACAACCTTTCCCAGTACGTACTACTTTAAAATTGTTTAAACATTCCTTCTGTTATCTGACAAAACATAACATCTCTTGAAATCAGATGATCTTGCTATTACAAGTTGGAAGTCACTATGTTGTAGGCACAATTAAAGCCATTGATAGCCTAAGATCTTAGTTAAAAATAAACCCTCAGCATTTCTTTCTGAAGGGGAAATGAATTGATAGCTAATTTTAGAAGGAATCATAACATTTTAGCCGGAATCAAAATTTGGTGTTGAGTATATGTTTAAACAAATGCGCCCCCCCCACACCCCCACCTCACACACACACACACACACACACACACACACATACATTCAACGGGTTCCATACACCCCAAGTAGCCTTGAACTTCTGTTCATGGTTGAATCAACTGTCCAATATAAGTAACCATGACCTCCCACATCATCACTGATGACAAAGTAATGCAGAAAAATTTAAACCATGTTACATTTGTATATATACCCCTCGTCTGTATTTAATGGCCCTGTTTAAGCCCCTAGTCGCCTTGCACCTGCATATTCCCTGTAGTCCAACATTTTATAAACAATCTGGTGTTCTTTTATTTCACTTACTTTCGCCTTCGATCTTGTCGCTCGTCCTGCACCAGGTGATCTGCCTGGTTTCCAGTTTCACCTGAAAAGTTTTTCTCTCGGGTCTCTGCGATTTCTTCTGGTAATATAAAGTCATGACAGTGCCCAGCTCCAAGTTTCGGATGATCCTGCTAACGTCTGCCTCCATCCTCCCATCTTCCAGCAAAAATCCGTTTGGAAAACCGACTCTGGACCCTGACATCTTCAGCGCATCATCCAAGAGATTGTCTTTAGCTTTGAAGAAAGTGAAATAGACCCCGACTCAGCGGAACAACGATTTCAAAAAAAGAAAAACACGTTTTGCAATCAGAATTATAAACTGACCTTTTTCCCTGCCTTGATTTTTTTTACACTGTAAAACAGACTCTCCTGTTGGGCAGGGTTTTAAAAAAAGCAGATAGTGGGGTTCCCTCCTCTAATACATCGTCCTACAATCAAACGTGGAGAAAAATAAAATGCCAGTGAATTTGCTCAAATGATGCAGTGCTGGATCCTTGCCTGTTTCCTGGTTGTCTGGATGTTCTTCCCGTTGCTGTCAAATCCTCCGTTGTGCTGGCAAGAGCATTGAAGATGGAGGAGTAGTCCGGGAAATATATATCTACATACATAGAGGCACACGTACACACAGAGAGACATACATTTATATATATGCACACATATACCAAATATGCGCATGTATATGAACTGCTCCTCTTTAGGATTTTGGCAGCGTTGTTTCAAGTGGAATCGACACGATCCGAGAGGCACAGCTGAGCCTAGAGGAAACAGCACATACATACACAGCCGGAAAGAGATCAGAGACAGGAATCTGAAATATTACAGGCTCGGGGGAGGAAGAGGGTGGAAGAGAGAAGGGAAAGAAAAATGTGCTGGAAAGAATGAAAAACAGCGACATCTAGAGAGAAAGAGTGAGGGTAGATTTAAAACTAGGACTGAGAAGATGTGGAAGAGAATACGATGCGGGATAACCATTATATAATACTGATATAGTGCTTTTTTTATTGGAAACAAATGTCTTCAAATTAACTTATTGTTTTTTGAGTACGGTATCTTGTTAAAGGTTAGAGAAGACAATTGGAAATTAGACTGATGCTGAACGACGCGGGAGCCTATTTGTATGAAATATATGAAGGGTTAGCAAAGTAACAGGAATTGAAACGACCCTATAGGAGAGGTGACGGATGAGAGAAACAAAGATATATCAAAAATACATTTACAAAAATTGGTGAGGCCTCCCTGGGATTTCTGAACCACTAACAGGCAACTTAGCACAGGAAGGCACCATCACTATCTCACAACGATTACGATACACCATACTAATTTCTATAAATCATAGTAAAGCCTTAAAGCACAGTAAAACCCAAAAACTAATATAACCAATGTTCAGTATTTCTAGTAAAATCAAAAACACCCTATCTAATGTGAAATAAATGTTCAATGATTACATTGTCTGACATAGCAATCAGTTTAATTCTTAGCCTGCTTCATTGATGGGGGAATACTATTTTGAAGTTAGCAAGATGCGGGTGTATGGGTAAATTAGAGGTCAGCATGTTATAACTAATCAAGATTGTTAAATAAAGAACATAGAAAATATTGGAAGATATTCAGCAGATTAAACACCAGGTATTAAGAGATAAACAGATGAAGTTTCTTCAGAAAACAACATTTCTCAAAATGCTCAGCAGGTCAGGCAGCATTCACGGAGAGAGAAACGCAATTAATGTTTCAGGCCAGGGTGACCTTTCATTGGAACTGATGTAATTCTGATGAAAAGTCATGTCAACTCAAAATGTTGGTTCTCTCTCAAATGCTGCCTGACCCACTGAGTATTTTGAGAATTATTTTTTGTTCAGAATCTTAATATGTTGCTTTTGTACTAGTGACCTTTCATCAGACCCTACTATGTAAAGATTGCAATACAGTTGCTATTACATAACTTACACTGACTATTATTTAACCTAAATGCCATTATTATATGAGCAGAATATAATCTCAATCTTATGTACCTTTCGTATGATTTTAATGCTGTTGCATTTCTATTATTTGGTTTCTCTTTACCTTCTCTTGTCTCCCTAACCTTTCTTTTTGCTTCTTTGTTCTCTTTTGTTGGCACGTCCCTCTCTTGCTTGTTTGACAGGGTATGGTGGAAAATGAACCAGCAGCTGCAAGTAGTATTTAGGATGGAGCATATGCAGAAAATATGTTCCTCAGATAATAACTTTTCATCTATATAATCTTTTCTGACTCTTCCCACTATTACTTTGACTACACTTATCCCTATATCTTCCAATTACCTTCTCCTTCTACAATTTTCATTCCCCTCAATAACACATCTCTTCCTCTTTCAACAGTCCAGTTAGTTTGTTTAGTCTCTTCAGCATTGTTGCAGCTTCATTCCTCCCATTATTAACTGTCTATTGACTCCAAACCATTTCCAAAAATTTCCTGTAAAGTTAGTTAATGATAAAGGGGGAAATCTCTTCACTCTCAATCTGTTTGCCTCCTCAACTCTTCTTCTTTCTACCTATCCTTCCTACCTGTACTCCTTAATTACATCACCAATTTAAAATAAGACTTCTTTCAATTCACCCGTGGGATGTTGTCATTGTCTTGGGCCAGGATTTATTGCTCATTCCTAAATGCCTTTGAGAAGTTGGTGGTGAGCTGCCTTCTTGAATGGTTGCAGTTCAGTTGGTTTAGGTAGACCTGCTGTTAGGGAGAAATGATTTTTTTTCCAAGTCTGGACTTTGAATGGCTTGGAGAGGAACTTGCAGGTGATGGTAACCCAAGTTTCTGCTACCGTTGTCTTTCTCGATAGAATTGGATGTGAGTTTGGAAGGAAGTTGTCTAAGGGGCCTTACTGAATTTCTGCAGTGCAACCTGCAGATGGTATACACTGCTGCTACTCAGAGAGGTGGTGGAGAGAGTGAATGTTTGTCAATGGAGATACTCAAGTCAATTGCAACTCCTCTACTTAATCAACTGCTTTTCTCCTGTTCTTTTCAATCTCAGTGGTTACTTCTCTACAGATGTTTAACAAAGTTTGCCAATGTAAAGAAAACCCAGCATTTTGCCAGGTATCTGATTTTTTAATAATCTAAATCTGAATCTGACAATCTCATCACAGAATCTTCTCTATCTGTTTTCCATAGACGTTCTGTAATCTGATATACATTTTTAAAAAAACCTGTTTCTAAACCGGCTTTAATTATTTTATGCACCTTTCGTTAAATCTCTTATTAAAGAGTTGTTGGGTGTGTGCATTTGTTTGGTTAATCTGTTAAAGGCATTACTTTTTTTTTAAATGGTACAGTAGCCAACAAAATTTGTTGCAGCTAATATTGTTTGCACATATTTTCTCCCTTTTGTATCCATTAGGTGTTCTTCCCACTGGGATCTTGGCAAAAATGTTTGGTACAGCCTTCATTTAAACCACAGTGGGTCCACAAAAAATATGACTAAGGATAGAGTGAGGAATTTAAACTAAAAAATGGGACAAAAGGTCAAGCGAGGAGTTATTTAGAAAATAAGTGAGAAATGCCAAGCGACAGTGCAGAGGAACAACATGGCAATGATAAGGAAAACATGACAGGAAAGGATAGATTGTACCATCAAGAATGCATCAGCAAACAGGGCCAGCAGAGAGAAAAATGATAAAAAGACAGAATTAAAGCTTCTTAATTTGAATGTGTGGAGCTGGAGGAACACAGCAGGCCAGGCAGCATCAGAGGAGCAGGAAAGCTGATGTTTCGGTTCGGGATCCATCTTCAGAATTTGAATGGATATAGACTTTGTAACAAGATGGATGGATTGATAGCACAATTGGAAATAAATAGTATAACACATTAGCCAATGCAGAGATAGGGTTTGCCACATTCCCATTTATGAAAATATTAGACAAGCTGGATATTTATCAGGAGCTGGATAGGTAGACCGTTATCATTTAAATAGAATGTGGAGAAGAACCAAGGGTAAGGAAATAAGGTTGTGGACATACTCACTGAGCTGATGGGTTTGGTTGCAAACGTTGTGTTAGCCTGCTAGGTAACATCGTCAGTGTGTCTCCGATGAAGCGCTGAGGCATATAAATAACAAGCAGGACCGAACACCGACGCTTCACCGGAGACGCACTGATGATGTTACCTAGCAGGCTAACACAACGTTTGCAACCAAACCCATTGGCTCAGCGAGTATGTTGTTGTCATCCATGTGCCTGCCCAAGAGTTGCTTAAATATCCCTAATGTATCTGACTCCACTACCACTGCTGGCAGTACATTCCACACATTCACCACTCTCTGTGTAAAGAACCTACCTCTGACATCTCCCCTATACCTTCCTCCAATCACCTTAAAATTATGCCCCTTCTTAATAGTCATTTCCGCCCTGGGAAAAAGTCTCTGACTATCCACTCAATCTATCCCTCTCATCATCTTGTACACCTGAGCACACCACTTATATACCACCTATTTAGTTATTATTGCTTATGTTTGTGTTGTACCAGTTTGTATAAGAAAGATTTTTATGCTGGTTTAATTCAACCCTGGAATCCTCCAATTATTTCCTTATTGAGGAGATTTGTAGCTCGGGTTGTGAATGAGGTTGTAGACATACTCGCTGAGCTGGTGGGTTTGGTTGCAAACGTTTCATCACCCTGCTAGGTAACATCGTCAGTGCGTCTCCGGTGAAGCACTGAGGCATATAGATAACAAGTGGGACAGAACACCGATGCTTCACCAGAGACGCACTGACGATGTTACCTAGCAGGGTGACAAAAAGGTCATGTCTTACCAACTTGATAGAATTCTTTGAAGAAGTGACAAAGTTGATAGATGAAGGAAGGGCTGTAGATGTCATATACATGGACTTCAGTAAGGCATTTGATAAGGTTCCTCATGGTAGGCTGATGGAGAAATTGAAGTCTCATGGGGTCCAGGGTGTACTAGCTAGATGGATAGAGAACTGGCTGGGCAACAGGAGATAGAGAGTTGTAGTGGAAGGGAGTTTCTCAAAATGGAGAACTGTGACCAGTGGTGTTCCACAGGGATCCGTGTTGGGACCACTGTTGTTTGTGATATACATAAATGATCTGGAGGAAGGTATAGATGGTCTGATTAGCAAGTTTGCAGATGACACTAAGATTGATGGTGTAGCAGATAGTGAAGGAGACTGTCGGAGAATGCAGCAGAATATAGATAGATTAGAGAGTTGGGCGGAGAAATGGCAGATGGAGTTCAATCCAGGCAAATGCGAGGTGATGCATTTTGGAAGATCCAATTCAAGAGCGAACTATATGGTAAATGGAAAAGCCCTGGGGAAAATTGATGCACAAAGAGATCTGGGTGTTCAGGTCCATTATACCCTGAAGGTGGCAAAGCAGGTCGATAGAGTGGTCAAGAAGGCGTACGGCATGCTTTCATTCATTGGACGGGGCATTGAGTACAAGAGTTGGCAGGTCATGTTACAGTTGTATAGGACTTTGGTTTGACCACATTTGGAATACTGCGTACAGTTCTGGTCACCACATTACCAAAAGGATGTGGATGCTTTGGAGAGGGTGCAGAGGAGGTTCACCAGGATGTTGCCTGGTATGAAGGGTGCTAGCTATGAAGAGAGGTTGAGTAGATTAGGATTATTTACATTAGAAAGACGGAGGTTGAGGAGGGACCTGATTGAGGTCTACAAAATCATGAGAGGTCTAGACAGGGTGAGTAGCAAGAAGCTTTTTCCCAGAGTGGGGGACTCAATTACTAGGGGTCACGATTTCAAGGT